GCTGCTGCTGCTGCTTTTGCTGCTTTTGCTGCTGCTGCTGCTTTTGCTGCTGCTGCTGCTGCTGCTGCTGCTGCTTTTGCTGCTTTTGCTGCTGCTGCTGCTGCTTGTTGTGTCTGTCTTTGCGGTCTTGGTTTGTTAGTTTTATTGTTGAACTTTATTGTTGCTAGTGTTTCTGGTGCTTTTATTTAGGTGGGTGCAGGGGGTTGTTGTTTATTCGCTGAGGTCTTGCTGTTGCAAGTTCTGGTTTATGGTAACGTCGCCTTCCTGCGGCCGATCCCTTCAGAGGAGGCAGCCTGGGCAGTAGCTCAAGACATTTTGGCTTACTCTCAAGATTAAGATGGCATGAGTTCCCTGTTTCTACGCTGTGCATGCTAAAGAGGCTGATTTTGACAAGCCGCTCAACTAGATCGTGGCATTGCGCACAGTGTCCTTGAGCCATTGTACGAGTTTTTGCCGTTAGTAAATCATTAGTACTGCATCTAGCTAGGATCCCCTGAACCATAAAATGCTTAAACTGGTTTGCTGTTAAGCAGTTTAAACTAAGTTACCATAGTATGGGAATACAGTGAATAATTGGTTATCCCTATTATAGTAATGTACAGTAAGGTTCTTAAGAGCACCCCAGTAGACCTCAAAGAAATTGAAATGCGGGCTCGGGTTCTGCACCGCTTCCCTCTGCCGCCACGAGTTTATGGTCTCCAAGCTACACTTCCCCGCCGTTTAGGGTGTAGGGTGTAGTGTTTACATGTTTTTACTATCCTATCCCCAATATGAAGCCTGCATGTGGTCTCTGTTTCGTGCGAGGGCTGAAAAATTATGAACATTTTAGGCGAAATGCCCCATACCCTCTTTGTGTATATGGTCTACGACCATAACAGAACCAATTATTTAGGTCCCTAGCCTAATAAGCCCTAAGCCATAAACCCTAAACTGCACACCCTAAACCCTAAATCCTAAACCCTACAGTGAAAAAGCCCTGCAAAAGAGCAAGCTACATAGCATGGGGTTCTATAGCCTTGCCAGGACTTGCCCAAGCAGAGGCAGAGGAAGCAACGCAGGCAGAAATGAAAAAAGTGCCAGGTCAAAGCCTCTGCAAATACCTAGACTAGGGGTTAGGGGTTTAGGGTTTAGGTTTTTGAGGTTCAGGGGCTTAGGGTTTTGGATTTAGGGCCTAAACAATCTAAAGCCTGTAACCCCAAATGACCCTATGACTACATTGGGGAAAGTAGGAATTCATTGGGAGGCCCTTTTTTTTGATCTCTTAGGGGGTCTGGCTAATACCTTGGGATGGTCTTGGGAGATAATGCACCGCCAACAAGAAAATCCCACCTCACGAACTATCCCCAATAGAGTACCAACATGTGACGGGGGAATATCTATTATTGGGGGGGTTTCCTCTTGAGGCAAGATCAGAAACGTTAGGCCTGCGACCAAGGCTTGAAAGAGGGAACGAACTTTCTTGAACAGGCGCACAGGGCCCATGCCAAATGAAATCATGGGTTCTCCTAACCACCCCCTAAACCCTGAACCCTAAACCCTATTACTTCACCCTGGGGCTTCCCCTTTGACCAATCCAAAATCAAGGGAGAACCCTGTGGGGGGGGGGGCAGGGGGCGTACAGGGAGGTTGTAGGGGAACGCAAGTAACCTTGACTCTGAACTGCCCGCCCCATTCTATTTTGAACAGGCTGGGTTCAGGCCCTGTTGCCTACCACAGGGGCGTGTTTGACTGGAATAAGGCTGTGATGCAGATTATACTGCAGTTTTATGGGGGCTTACTAAGAATGCTATCGAGAATTCTATAGTCACCGTTAAGTAGATAGAATATGGGGTTTATGGGGATCTTATTATAATATACCCAAAGCCATATTCTATCTACTTTGAGCACTTGGCGCGCATGGCATGGCCTGCGATTCTCTGCAAAGGTTCGGAGGCTCTGGCTCGAGGGTCACGAGGTAAGAGTCACAGAGCATATTGCTCCAGTGGCAGGTGGCTAGAAGCGGGAATCGTGCTTTGCGATCCCTTGAGGCCTTTAGGGCTTACATTCATCCCATAAGAGGAGGAATAGTAGAAGGTAAAGTAATACAGTTTTACTAGCAGGAGCAGCCATAGCAAGATTAACATAAAATTTGCGCATTGCAGCCACGCGGACACCGTCTTCGAGTTATATGCCGCCGCCACCCTGAGTTGCAATGACGGACCCACGCTGTAGCGACTCGCCCGAGGCGTTGGGCGCTGGCAAAGCGGTTCAGTCTCTCCGCGATGAGGTTGTAACTGTGCCATTGTAGGATACATCTTTTGTGTTATGACTTTAAATCAGATCCACAAAAAAGGCACCAGGCAACTCTTCTCGCCTTTCTTCTTGGTGCTTAGGTCACTACGCGGTGTAGGGTTTAGGGCCAAAGTTTAGGGTCTATGGGGGCCTTTCGTCGCCCTGTACTAAAGGGTTTAGGGGTTAGGGTTCCTTGCCAAGCACCAGGGAGTTTCAGCAAGGGTGCATCCCCTGTAACCTTCTCCATGCGTTCTGAAACTGCCAGTCTCCCCCAATGATAGATACCGCCTTGTAGGAACGTCACAATCAACCCCCATTCACCCTGAACCCTTCACAGTCTAGGGTGTAGGTTAATTCCGGACCCTCCAGGTGGATACATAATCAACATATCCCGATCAAAAGAAATACTTGCAAAGTCCCCTTCATAACCTGCGCGGGCCGTAACGTAAACCGCGTGCATCAGCCACGGACCCGAAATCTCAGAGCTTAATGTAGACTGTGATTTTTAAGGGCCTTACTATTAGGATCCTTATTACAACCCCTATTCATTGAGGAGGGAGGTTTATATATAATTAATAAGGGGTCTACATTAAGCTAGAGGCTTGATTAAACACCAATTATGGTCCTAGGTTCCTGGTAACAGTGCAATATGCGGCACCTAGGTAGACCTGAAAACGATACTGGCAACCAGAGTACCCAGGCCACTTACACCTACGCTGGATCAGAGTTAGGGATCCTGTATATTTTTGGCGGTATGGGATTCCCTGAACCCTAAACCTTGTCAATGCGGTCTAAGTACAGCCCAGGCAACGTTTCACGAGCAGATGCAGCGAAAACTGAACGAGCTGGAGGCCGGCAGAGTTGAGAAATTTGGTGCTTAGGCTTTACGAGTCTAGGGGTTGGGGTATCGGGGTTTAGGGGTTTGGGACAGTTTAGGGTGTAGGGGCAGAATAAAACACCCCACTAATCCCCTCCCCAAATAGAACCTCCACCCCGACCCCCTAATAATAGATGACCCCGGGGGGAGTGTCTATTGTCAGCAGCGTGTTTTCGAAAAGGGGGATGTGATTGTTAGAGAATCCTGGCGGCTCCCTTCCTGTTGACTGTTCTTACTACTTGATATTAGTATAGCTGCTTGATGTATTGGCTGCTTCATGTATTGGCGTCACTGGTGTTAGCCCTCTCCTCCAAAAGGTCACTCCCCCCGCCCTGCTGGCAATCAGCGATCCCAATATCATGCCACTGTACTGGAAGGATGGTATTGTTGTTGCTAGAGGTGGGGAGGCAGTTCCCCAATCTTAAAACCACCCACGAAAGATTCCAAATACACTTATAAGGATACCATATTGGGGATGCGGGTCGGTGGGGGATTTTACCATCGGGGGGGATGTAGTTCCTACATAACGTTGCGTAACCAGTTTCCAACGTATTTCGAATTTTCCACTCTGCCCTTCAGCAATATCCTTAAATCCTAGACCAAAAAAATACATATGTTTCATTTAGATATGTATAGAGCCTTATATGTCAGCCCCATATTTGCGTCAGCATTCACGCCCTCCCCCCCCTCCCCACCCCGTGGCATGGTCCATGATGTCCATGATATAGAGTATGATGAACCAACCCCCCACCCCCCCCTTGTGGTCCTGTGGTCT